GAACTTTTCTTTCCACCTACCCACAGTGGCACAACACATGGCCTGCACCACTTGCATCCAGCCCAGTGTGCTGCTGGATGCCAAGGAGAGAAAGTCAAAGGATCCTGTTGAATAATAACAAGGAGCCTGTTGTCCTGCTAGTCGCTTCCTTTTCTCTCACTGAACAGACTCTGAAAAGAGTGGGGAGCAGTCCCAGAATTAACACCTGACTGGCAAACAGCACCAGGTGGTTATCGAATTCCAGCCCAAGCAGATTGTCACCATCTAGTGTGAAGGAGGGTCGGAATAATGCTGGTGATTTAGAGCCACGGGGGGAGAGAGCTGGAGGACCGTCACAAGCACAGAATTTATGAAGAAGTTGTGGTACTCTGACATTTTTATTAAATGTCAGAGTAAAACAACTGTGAAGGCCTCAGCTTTTTATCCTCCTCTCCTAAGGCAAACCAGGGGAGATGCCTGCTGGCTGGCCGGGTAGCTAGCAAGTATCTGAAGCTTATTTGTGTAGGGAGAGGATACACACAGCCATATGTGTGCCTGCTGAGTCATCTGCAGTGAAGGCCGCAGGCCAGCTCTCATACATAGATCAGGTTTGGAAAGCAGCTCCCTTAGAAAAAGCTCACAGTGCAGACGCTCTAGCAGAGAGAGGCACCAACATACTGGAAACACGTAAGGATAGATACTTGGAGGAGAAGCCTATTTTAACAGCATGCCATGCCTGGTGTATATGCCCGTAAACTCAAACTGACCTGGAACAATTTCCTGCATTCTAACCTGATTCATACTGAAATCGGGCAGGAAGACCCCAGAGCTTGGGTGGCATTACGTTTGCTTAGATGATCAGGGCATTTTGGGACTCAGTGGGAAAGGAGCTAGCAGAAGGGAGAAAGGCTGCAGTTCATTAGATGAAGAAGGAAAGTTTGGATGCTGGGATTTCAAATAATCAAGATAATACAGCAGTAGTAGCTGCACCATTCACCCTCCTGATCCAGAAATGGGTATAGGACCACCATGGCCATAACGAGTGAGAGTTTAATAACTGATGTTTATGGCTTTCTGTCTACAGTTTGGGGAGGGGAGGGGGAAATAGTCCCTGGGGCAGAATTGAACATGGGGATCACATCATAGCACATCAGAACAGTGACCCTCCTAATCCAATATCCAGTCTGTGACAGTCATCAATACTGGATACCTCAGAGAAAGATGGAAACCCACCATAGAAGAGATGATGCTGTCATTATTTCATTATATACACTTATACAATAAGATACCTATGTGTGAAGTTTCCTTTTAACCCCAAATAGCTAGTAGTTGGTTCATAACTTAAAAGAACGAAGTGGCACCCAAATAAAAGATTTGTCCTAGCAAGCATAACTGCAGGTGAAGCTCTTGCCCATCACATAAACCTCTAATCTCCCATGGAACCCTCCTAAGCTTTTATCTCAATGATCTATTGTGGATGTGAGTGTCAAGGGTTAATGATATGCTATATAATACACTGCTTTATACGTTTTAAATTCAACTTTTAATTTAATTGAGCATCCCCTTATTTTTATACTGTATTACAGGAGGACTCCATTATATTAGATACATATATCGTGTCTCCTCTTACTCAGCTCCCCTCCAAACTAATAACAACAGGGAGGCTTTATGAGCTCTTGGTTTATCTGCCAAATAAATTTGGTGTGAGCCATCAAGCTATCAGATAGCCATCAAGCTAGCTATCAGAAAATGTCCATTCATCAAAATGTAAATGTTTCAAGGGATGAATTTTGGACAGAATTTCCAGCAAAAGCCAGGCAGGTTTCCTGCCTGTCTGCTCCCTTCCCTGCCTCCTCAGCAGCCCACTTGGCAGGGAACTTGGGAGCCAGGACACAGTCTCTTTGCCTTGTGGGTTACTAGTGAGCCACGCCTGGAGGCATGAGGAGCTAGGAGCCTGAGATTCTTATTTTGTTTCAGAACCACTGAACTGTTCCCATGGCTAGAGTGTCTGGGTGTTTCAGAGGTGAATTGTTGCAGACTTCCAGACACATGTTGGGTGACTGGAGGTTCCTCTTCATTTGGAATGAAAAACTTTCAAAAAACTCAAATATTCATGGATGTGGGAGTCAGTTCCCTGGCCGGCTGTAGTGAGCAGATGCTGTTTCACTGATCAACTAAGGGCCACCCGTGCTATGGTTCTCCTTGCCAGGCTTTGTAGACATGCAAAGTACAAAACCGCCTACTTCACCATGCTGTCGGATCCTGGGTGAGTGCCTAATGTTTAGGTTGCACCTGCACTGGAGAATTGCAGCAGGTATCTGGGGGGGACTGAACCAGTGCCACCTGCAGGGGGCAGTGTGTCCACACTAAGCTTTCAGATGCAAACAAAGCATCCTCTCCACACCCAGCACCTCTCGGATCATATACTAGAGAAATGTTGCATCTGCTCACTGGTAAATCATGCCTGCAGAGCCTATGGTGGGCATGTGCATCTCTTTGCACTTTGGTGATAGAGCCAGGGCCCTGACCTGTCAAAGGAGAGAATGAAGGATGGGCAGGAGATTGTGGGATTTCAGTGGAAGGGCTAATTGTACCAGGACTTACAGTGTATTCTGCCATTGCAGCTGTACAGATGTGACATGATGGTTAGCCAGATAAAGGCCAGTCCCCATGGTGGTGTGATCCACTAGCGAGAATTCTGGTTTTGGGCATGTGTTATGTTAAAAGCATACGTGGGAGCTGAGAGGGTAAAATTCTCTCATGTACAAAATAACTAGCACAAAAAGCTGCAGAAATTATGTTACTCTCCAAAGGACCCAAAGCAGATACTAATGGGGAGAAGAGTCACAGGAGCACAGACACCTCCCATGAGGAAGGTGGGGTGCGGTCATATGGCTTTTTACTCCCAGGGGTGCCACTGTAGCCAGCAGCACATATACTGTGCTACTTAACTGTGGAGCAGAGATAACAGGTCTACAGAATGGAAAATGTTAGAAAACAGAAAATAGAGATGTGATTATGGTGATCCCAGCCCTTTTTGTTCATTTTGTTACATTCTTTCTGCTTAAATCACCTTCTTGAATCAGAGAATAACACTTAATTTAGGAGAATCTGATGCAGACAGAGTTATATCTCTGGCTATGTCTACACTACAAAGAAAAGTTGGAAAAAGATATGCAAATTGAGAACCACAATTTGAGTATAGGAGCCCCCCCGTTTTACGATGGTCTGATTTACGACCCCCACGAACTTTTCTGTAAGTACAGAAGGGGCTGAAATCCCCCGATTTATGTCCTTATCCCTGCATTTATGATGGCATGACGCCTGTCGTAAATGCAGGCTCAAGTTACAACGCCCTCGAATTGCGATGCTATCCCTGGAGCCAATTGCGTCGCAAGTCAGGGGCAGCCTGAATCTTTTTCCGCTTTTCTTCCGAAAGAGGCTTTTCCGACATTTGGCCCATCTACACAGGGTCAAATGTCAGGAAAAAACCCTCTTTCGGAACATTCCTTCTACCTCATGGAATGAGGTTTATTTATATGGATGCTGAAAAAGCGTGTCGGCTTTTCTGAATTTTTTTTTTTTTTTTTTTTTTTTTTTTTTTTGTTCCATGCTATCCCGAGAAAGCTCTGCAGTGTAGACATAGCCTCTGGGACCTCAGGCCAGAACAGAGGACTGCTGCAAGCTATGGTTCATTCAAGAAAGTGAGCTGAATCAGAGCCACGGTCCATGGAAAAAAGACTTGTTAGCTCAGCTAGTCCACCTCCATGCAAGTGTGGGATACAGGCATGCAATAGAGGGCAAATTGTATGAAATATTAAAGAGCAGCAAAATATTTTGAGCATGTAGTGTTTCTGTCCACTTGCATGTCTTTAATATGTGGGAGTTTTTAATAATCTTGTAGTTCTGTTCCTTAACGTCTTTTTTTTTAAAATCTGTGAAGTGTAGAAGATGCCAACATGGTGCAGTAGAATCAACGAACATTGAATTTATGAGCCTTTTAGAATGCTTGTGGTGCTTATTTTCTTAATAGGATTTCAGTTAGGTGGGTGACCATCCCACCAAGATGTGTTTATTGTATAAGCATATGCACCTACCAGAGTGGCCATCAGGAATGCAGGAGTTGTGGAAGGTGCACAATATATTTCTCAGTAGTTACGCACGTCTGCAATTGCAGTGCCACCACATACTTTTTCATTTCACTTCTCAGTGAATGTGTGCACCACTTTGTGAGGCTGTATAGAATCAGGAGGAGGGTACAAGAAATGCTTCTATGTTCAGAGTGTTAAGAGTTCACCAAATATCGCTCTGCGATAATAATTTTGAACTGGAAGGGAGGGGAGGAGTGAGAGACCATCTTTTCCATATACTTTGAGAACAGGCTGACCATATTTTCCCAAAAGGGAATTGGGACACTGGAAGGTGCCAGCCCAAGTGCCCATCCCCCAAATGTTCCTCAACCCTCCTGGCTGCCTGCTCATGGGATTGACCCAAGGCTCCTGTTTCTCCCCCCATGTTTGAGGCTGGCACAAGCCCCATTATGTAGGGCTGGCCTGAGGTCTTCTGCTGCCCACTTGTACCTGGGGTCAGCTCAAGCCCTGCCTCCCTTCCACACAAAGCTGGTATTGCTACTCATCCCTCTTCCCCCCCACACACGCATTCCTCCGTGCTTCACTAGGGATTGCCCTTCCCCTTTTAGTTTTGGCCAAATTGTGCATTTATCTCTTTGCTCTTGTGAACTAGCAAAAGGACAAATGCCCAGTTTTACCAAAAACATGGGGATATTGGGGACAGAGCTTAAAAACTGGACTGTCTTGGCCAAAATAGGACACACAGTTCCTGTTTGGGAAGATGATGGCAAAACTGGAATATTTAAAAAAAAATTGTGTGAGCAAACTTGCTCCACATGGTAATATCTTGGTGGAGCAAAGGTCATTGAATCTGGATTGGGAGCAAAGACCGTGCAGCCAAGAGCTATCATAATAAAACTAGCAAATATTTTAATCAAGACAAGTATTTGCTTAACAAATGAGCATGCAAAGCTGGTTTATTTACTTTGGAGTGTGTCCCTTCTTTAAATTCCTACTAGTTGGCTCCTCTGTCCATTGTTTGCACCCAGAGCCTAATTCGGTCTTGGTATAAACAGATGTAATTCCACTGTTGTTCTGGTTTCGAGGTAATTCTGAAAAATAAAAGAAAAAAATTGATAAGTGGTTGTCAGTACCAGTTGTGTAGGCATTTATCACATGGACCTCTACTGGGAATGAGCTTTTCACCTGAGAGACTCATCTCCAATCCATAATTTTCAATCATGGTCAGTCTGGGCTGGATTAGAATCAGTAATCTAGAGATGGAAGGATTCAGATCCCATTTCCAAACATATGGACTACCTAGTCTTGCCTGCTCTCCTCCCATCCACCCCCTTCTACTGAGGCAATTAATTTTTTTTCTGGGTATATATCTAACAGACCAAATTTGCAAACATAACTATATAATCTGCACTGGCAAAATATCAGTCTTGCACATGAATTTGCATCTTTACATATGGGTGCACAGTGTTGAGTATAGTAACTTTTACTGTAAAGAAATGTAAAATTTCCAAATCATCTTTAAATTTAAATTCGCTATTGCATAGCTACTGTGTATAAGCACCTCAATTTGAGCCCACGAAAGAAAGAAAAGTTTCCTTACTTGTTCTTTTATGTGGTAGTGTGCAGTGGCAATTTGACTGAGTTGCTAGCATACAAGAATTGGGCCCCAAGAGCCTTTGAGTTTGGAGCCACCGAGCAAGGCTCCAAGTCTCTGCCACCCACCACGTGTGAATACCAGCTCATACTGTGGATCTTTAATTCTCAGTAGGGAGTCAAGTAATAGAGATTTAGCCATGTTAGTCTGATCTTGCTGAAACAAAAGACAGGACTGTGCAGCACTTTAAAGACTAACAAGATGGTTTATTAGGTGATGAGCTTTCGTGGGCCAGACCCACTTCCTCAGATCTAATGGTGGAAGAAAATTGGCATGACCATATACAGGCAGTCCCCGAGTTACGCGGATCCGACTTACATCGGATCCGCAGTTACGAACAGGGTTTGCTCCGCGTCTCCCTGGTCTGCTGGAGACCAGCAGACCAGGGAGACGGGGAGCAAAGCCAGAGAGCACGCGGGCAGCGGACAGCCCAGACGTGCCGCGACTGTCCCGCTGCCAGCATCCTCAGAGGCTTTGCTCCCCGTCTCCCTGGGCTGCCGGTCTCCAGGCGACCAGGGGGG